AAAGTCACGTGTATCTACCGTACTGGGATGTCACAGGGCTCGAAACCATAACGGAGACGATTTTGGGATAACTGTAATGATAGTGGCGCACGAAACACAAACGTTCGCGCGGAAAACTTTGGAAGCGCTTTGGATTCACATCGAGAATCCACAAATGAATCGAAGGGACGAATGCTTGTCAATAACACGGGAGCTAGCACCGTATGTGAGACTAGCATTCCATCCTAGACTCTAAATGCGATACTTTTTTCTGAAAAGATCAGAGGTCTGATAAAGGAATGGAACATCATTCCTTGTGGGGTTGTGTGGCGGTTCAGTTTACGTCGAAGCCCGGTATAGGTAAGTGAGACGTTTGACCGTGTATTCACAAATTGAGTTCTACCCTTTAGGCTCCGAAGAAGGCGACATCGCCGAAACGTTAGCCGCCAATAAAGGTTTTGATAACAACCTCGTGAGCAGTTTGAAATAAATCGTTAAACTGGTTAACAGAGTTTACGCTTGTCTGATTCAACGGGTATTACTGTGTTTAGTTCGGTGTTTCTAACAACTCTCTAATTGTCCATTGTCTAACACTACTTTAGGCTCGTCTGTCCTACTTCTGCAATCTTTCATCCAAAGAAAACGATCGGTTTCTGTTCGTGTTGTGAGTTGCAATGTAGAATAGATTCTTCTCAATAACCTATAGTCTTCGGCTGAGAAGTTCGATCAAGACTAGGGTCAACAAAATTTGCAAAGGTGAAATGCACGAGGAGAAGGTTGTTCTGCCTTTTACGCGGTCTACAGCAGGCGCAACTCCCCGAGCACAGGCGGAACTATCATAGTAAGACAGTATCATTTGCAAGGTGCCAAAATACCCTGAAACCTTGGCACATATGCCCAGCAAGGGCTGCCAGAAATGGCCCGATTGTTTGCCGAGATGCACCTCAACCGTCGACCGCAGAATTGACCCTGCAAAAAGGAAAAGAGTATTTTTGACTGATATGCACTGTTTATTGTTAACAAACTACGTTCTACAAAACCAAAACCTTCATGAAACATTTCTATCACCAACTGAAAGTGTGACGGGGTCACGAAATGGTGCCAAAGGACATCACAGAGAGCAAAACAGAAAAATACTGCTCACAACAAAAAGCGCATATTAGTAATAGAAAAGCTGCGATGAAAATGAAAAGCGACAGTAAGCGAACAAATCTGCACCGTTTCCTCATGTTGCATGCTTTTTGCAGAAGATGCTGTAGTGAAGAACGAGTCGAAAGAAAAAAGGTTTAACCGAAAATAAAAAGGAAACCTTACGCAACACGCAAAAGGACGGCGACTGCAGCACTACCTGGAAAAAGTCATGCACAAAAGCGACAAGTTGCTTCAAAACAGCATCAAATAGTGTTCCACACAACAAGGAGAACACATAAAAGATGCTGTATGAAGAACAAGTCGAAAGGAAAAAGGTAAAATGAAAAATAAAAAGGAAACCTTACGCAACAGCAAAAGGACGGCGATTGCAGCACTACCTGGAAAAAGACATGCACAAAAGCGACAAGTTGCTTCAAAACAGCATCAAATAGTGTTCCACACAACAAGGAGAACATTAAAAGATGCTGTAGTGAAGAACAAGTCGAAAGGAAAAAGGTAAAATGAAAAATAAAAAGGAAACCTTACGCAACAGCAAAAGGACGGCGACTGCAGCACTACCTGGAAAAAGACATGCACAAAAGCGACGGGTTGCTTCAAAACAGCATCAAATGATGTTCCGCACAACAACGAAAACATGCAAAAGATGCTGTAGTGAAGAACGAGTCGAAAGAAAAAAGGTTTAATCAAAAATAAAAAGGAAACCTTACGCAACACGCAAAAGGACGGCGACTGCAGCACTGCCTGGAAAAAGTCATGCACAAAAGCGACAAGTTGCTTCAAAACAGCATCAAATGATGTTCCGCACAACAATGAAAACATGCAAAAGATGCTGTAGTGAAGAACGAGTCGAAAGGAAAAAGGTACAATCAAAAATAAAAAGGAAACCTTACGCAACACGCAAAAGGACGGCGACTGCAGCACTGCCTGGAAAAAGTTTGCACAAAAGCGACAGGTTGCTTCAAAACAGCATCAAATGA